GTCAGCTGGGGAGACATCAGGCCATTGAGCAAAAGCCTGTCATGGGCAGCTATCCAAGTTGTGCTGTGCAGCTCTGCCCCTACACAGGTCACATGCTGACAGAGGATGCTGCCAGCATGGCAGGCTCTAGGCAGAGGGAGATTTCCTCAGTGTTACTAGAAAGGGCAAGGGTCCTTCTGCAGCCAGATATTACCAGGGAGGGACTAGTAAATAAGGAAGATGCGTAGCACCTTGCCTGAATGGCATTAGAGGTTCCGTATAAAATCTGCTTATGACACTAGCTTCCAAAATTTCTTCTCCCCAGATGAAAAAAGTACAACACTTTGAGGAATATTAAGAATCTTTCATTTCCCCCATGCATTCACCTCTGTTTCATTGCAGGATGTTTTGACCTTTAAAAAGATGAAAATAATAGGTCCAATAGCCTAAAGGACTTCTGCAATCCATATGTATATTCATTCTGTGCTGGTTAATGAAACAGTTGGAAAAAGAATGAAAGTGAAGGTTCAGGTAGTTTCTTACCAGTCTGAGACATTAGGTCAGTTTCAGGAAGAATACAATCTGCAGTAAATGGCTCAAATACAGGTATACTACTACACAGCTATTTGCAAGGGTCTTTTCATTATTACAGCACATAGGTTAGGTTACAGATCTCATAGCTGTAACATAAACAAACAAAAATTCAAAGTAGTACACATAGGGAAAAAAATCCACAAAACAGAAAAAAAACCTCCAGAAACAAACAAAACTTAAATATTTCTTTATTTTGGTAGCATCTGTTGTTTAACAGCATCACTTTAGCTGAAATAGTCTTTAAATGGTCAAGATTAATTTAGCTTTACAAAGGTTCTCTCTGACCTTTGCACTGCCTGGGTTACAGCAAGACACATAATAGCTGCTGGTGAGGGCTCCAGTCTTACAAGCCCTGAGAGAACATCCTGCCACAGATAGTCCCCTTATTTAGATAAACTGTACGGCCAAGGTTTTACAGTTCTGTTCCAGAGCTGCTTTCTGACAGTTTTTCATCTAATGTTCTCACCACCTCCTTCCAGACTACCTTTAATTCTCAAGACCAGAGAGAGCCTCTTATTTTTCCCATTACAGTGGCTCCTTGACTTGCCTTAAAATTAATAGGCCCTGTGCTCTTACCATGATTTCTTTACTTCCCCCAGGACATGACTGGGGATCTATATTTCCTTTTGTTTCTGTAAGCTGATTCTCTTCAGTAAGACTTGCTTACTCCAGTCAATACACAGGCTTGGAGCACATGGTAAAATTGATTCCCCTGACTAGTTCATTGGAAGCCTGGCCTTTTCTAAATTCTTATCTCCTGCCTGGGCTAGTCACAGGTAAAGGCCCTCGGAATAAACCGTTTGGGCTGTTTTAGTTTTTACCAGACAGTTATATGCTTTACTGCTGCCACGTGGGAGCCACTTCTCTCATGCTTTGGATGAGATGGGGAATATCACCAACTAAATCATTTATCTGAGAGATCAAGATAAATGTTGATGTGTCAGACGTACTGCATTTTGTTGTAACTCCATCAAGTGAGCTTTTAGACACTCAAACACAGGTACCATGCTAGTAGTGTTTTCATGATCTCCAAAGCCTTTCTAAGACTATTTCTACATAGGTTTTATGGGAAATTTAGTTATTAAGTTGTCTGCAATCAGGCCTATGCTTTCTTCCTTAAATAAAATAGAGACATTGGAAACTGCAAATAGAAAGTTATCTTGAAGACAAATGTTCTATTACAGCATTCAGCAGAAGCTTGCTTACAGTTTATGGCAAGACATCCATAGAAGTAAGAAAAAAAAAGTTAAATAAGTAGTTATTACATTATGGTCATTTAACAAAAGTTAGTTAATATTTCTGCTAAATGCAAAGTTGCTTTGCATAATAAAGAGAAATGCAGATACAGACTGATTCATTTTTATGCAGCTAAAAGAAATTAAGATTAGAACTATGTAAGATCAGAAAACAGTGTCAAATCCTGGATCTAAAGGAAATATGTTTTAGCATGTAGCTCTCAGTAAGGCTTCAGAAAAAAAAAAAAAAATAAGTAGCTATTACATTATGGTCATTTAACAAAAAAAGTTATTTAATATTTCTGCTAAATGCAAAGATGCTTTGCATAATAAAGGGAAATACAGATACAGACAGATTCATTCTTATGCAGCTAAAAGAAGTTAAGATTAGAACTATGTAAGATCAGAAAACAGTGTCAAATCCTGGATCTAAAGAAAACATGTTTTAGCGTGTAGTTCTCAGTGCTTTATGAAAGTGGCAACAGAAATTTGCATTGTGAAGAAATCTATAAGCAAATTATATGTTCCTACACTCACGTTTATTCATATGACAAGTTTCACTTGATTATGGAATCAGGAATTTACAATAAAAATTATGAGGCTTAGTTAATCCACTTCACTGATTATAAATTGTCAAACAAGATAACAAATAAAAGGAACAATGTCAGTTGCATTTTGTTACAACTTATTTAGTAAGTTCTAATAAATACAAAACCAAAGTATTCTTACACAAAATGTATTTTTTCAGTGTTTTGAACTCAGAAATCATTAGTTTCAGGCAACAGACAAAATTTGCTGAGTAAGCTTGGAAGGCAGATAATAGTCATCTATCTGGGCTTTACTATTAGATTATAATCAACATGAAAAATAAAAAACATGAGAAAAAGGTGTTTGACCATGAGATCTGAAATAGTCATTGTTTTAAAGCTGGCTGAAGAAATTCTGGGTGCAGGTAATCTGGAGGCACTTTTGCAGTTTTATTTTATTACCCCCATCAATATATAAGATTTTTTAAGAGTTGTTTCTAAGTTCATGACTGCTTACATCTCAGTTAGTCAGAAGAGGTGATTACATAGACATGCAGCTATGCACACAAATACTTTTTAATTCTTTTCATCTATGAACCTTTCTCCAGAACTGAACAGGAACCAGAGATCAGGAGAGTTTGGAAAATTAGTTATCTTCAGTTTTGCAGAAAACTGAGCATTTCAGTCATGCTTCAAATTTCACACAACACAGAGAAGAAAATTCTGTATTGGGGGAGGGTAATTTTGCTGAAAGCAGTGTTCAGTTCTAAAATATCAAAATGCCTTTTGGGGCACAAGCACTATTCCACCAGGGAGAAAAAAAAAACAACAGCTAGCATCTTCACTGAGCAGCTGTGGCCAAAGTAGAAAACATTAAAAATTGACTGAATTTATGAGCACATAGGTTACTGCATGAAGTTAATCACAAATTATGAATATTTTTACAAGTCCAGCAGTTTGCATGCACATTTTAACCTTCCCCCCAAAAAAAGTTCTTCCTAAACGCTTTGAAAGGGTCAAACTAAAAACACGAATAAAGGAACAAAAGCTTCTGAGGTATCAGAAAAGTCTTCAGAAAAACTCTGCATAAGAGTCCTCTGCCATAGCATTAGAATCATAGAATCATAGAATCAATAGTTAGGGTTAGAAAGTACCTTAAGTTCATCAAGTTCCAACCCCCCTGCCATGGGCAGGGACACCTCACTCTAAACCATATTACCCAAGATTAGTACAAAGCTGGAGCTTAACACTCATGTTTACCTACTGCAAGTCTGAATACTGGACACAGCTGAATCCTTGGCTGCACTTACAGCCCAAAGAGGGCGTGCTGGATGAACTGGAGGAGCAGGTTTGCAACTCTGAGGAAAAGCCCATGGTTTAACTGAACTGGACCAGCCTGCTGGTATGTGTTAAAGAAGCTTAAGGCTTGCTCTTATTTATATGGCATACCAGTTATCATAAAGACTCAAAGATCACCTGGATATTATCTGGGTTCATAACCTAGGTTCTCTCAGAACGTGTTACAGCTGGCAAAAGTGACACCAGTTTTTTCCCAGCAGATTTTTCCAGGATCTGTTACATATGGCTGGTACTTCCATTGCCAAGCGTGTGAAGTAACGTGTTGCTTTAAACTAGCAGAGCTGCAAAAAATTAACTAGAACACAGCTCAGAACTGCAACAAACTGATTTTTCACTTTGGCGTTTGAGGTGCCGACTCTAACAGGTGTAAAAAAAGGGTAGCTGTCCTCAAACAATTTTCATGTCTAAAACAGCTTGCTCAGCCCGCTGGTGGTCCACTGTCTAAAATTACTTATCAGTAGAAACTAAGCAGCAATGAAGTGATGCAGAATGTGGAGTTTGATGCAGTGTATTGCTTAAAGAGCAAAGTTGCTCTCCCAAGACTGGTGGCCACAGATCTAGGCATCCAGTGGAGCACGTGTCAAAGTTATCTCTCAAGACTAAATACGCACAGACTTCCTGCAGAATAAGGAGCCTATTCAGACTGCAGACTTACTGCACCATATGTGCCTCATTAATTATTATTCTTCATGTTTTAATTGCTATTATTTTACTGTGCCCAAGAGGAATATAGATTTTATGTCATCTGTTAAAGACACAACTAGGAGAACTAAGGCTCAAAGGAGCAGCAGAGGCAGATGGTATACTGGCAGTTAAATTTATAAAACTCTTTTCTCAAGTCTTGCCAGGAAGCAGAATAGCTTTCTGCTTTTTTTTTTCTTTTGCTTTCAGGTGAGCAGTTTATTTGAAGATGAGTTTGCTGTATGTGAGAGGGTAGAGCAGTACGATTGGATTTCTCAGGAGTTCTGACATTCAGAAAAAAGACCACAAGAAGCTAAAATTCTTTTGACTGAGTCACAAATCATTTATTCATACATTCTTGCCACAGAGGATCCTCCACCAGTTTCTAAACCAAATAATATGTGCCATGTGTCCAGCTTCTCTTCTGTCTGTCACGTTTCTAGTTAACCTTGTTAACTGGGTTAGTGGAAAAACACTGGTATAATGTAACACAGGCAGTGACCTGCCAGATGACCTATGCAGATGAGATGAAGAATATCAATTTCAGGGTTGATTGGGGGTGTGAATAGGACCACTACTGCTAATAAAAACTAGGGATTTTTTGCAATCACGTCCCTCACAGAAAAGCAGTAGCCTTTGGAGGTACCAGGAGCTGATCTGAACTGCAGGTGAGAGTGCAAGTGCTCACATACCAGAAAGAAGAAAAAAGTTTACTGAAAGGGCAAGTAGTAAGGCTGTCAAGCAGCTAGGATTACTTGTTTAAATGGCATTTTGGGTCAGGAAACAGCTGGTCTTAAATAAGCAAATACTGCTTAGAAATTAGTATTGTGCTCTGTAAATATGGTGATATACAGGAGTTTAAGGATTTAAAGACCAAAAGATATTACAGAGTTTTCTACTTTTCTGCTGGTAAAATGTGGTAAAATTAGAAAAACTTATATTAGAATTTGTAAATATTATACAAATGAAAGTTGTCAAAAAATGTATTTTTTATATAGGATAATTTGAATACACTTGCGCTCACTGCAGTGGACAAGATTCTGCCACTTTATGTGTTAAAAAGTTTTGCAAAACCCACGTTTCCCATGCAGAGTATTTGAAGGCTCTGCTAAGCTGCAAACGGAAGAGCTTTTGTTTCACAGACACATTATTTAGCTATATTGTACGGTGTCCTCCTTTCTCTAGCACCTATACACAGTAAATACTTTATCCTGCACACTTTTACCCAAGCGCTGCATGGATGAGTGAATGAAAGTGCAACTTCTGTCTCTTTGCTGCTGCCTGTGCATAGTAGAGCAGTGGAAGACACATTCACAAGAATCTTTTCTTATGAGCCTCCAGAGAGTTGACCAGACCTGGTGAAAACACACATTTCAGATTTATTAATTTTTTTTTTGGTGGGGGGGAGAGGAGAAAAAAGAAGACGTTCATGGATTCTGCCATTCATTTCAGCCACTTTAAAGAACAACTGAATGTTTTCAAATATTCCAAAATCTAAAAAGGAATAGCTTGTTTTGGATAAGTAAATCAGTTATGTCTTTCCCATCTAACTTATTGTTCCAGGCAATGGGAGGGATATGTACTATACCAGGGAGAAGAAACCGTTACTAGTGAAGTGATTAGTCTGTAAGCCCCCAGAAAAGAAACCCCAACATTATCAATATATTACTCTGCTTTCTTTCTTCAAAGAAGTCAAAAGTGCAATTAGCTATGCAGAAACATAAATAAACAGTTCAAGTCCCCTTGAGTTTATGTGGAAATGTGACTGGGAGCCTGACTGATAGTAGGTCCCTGGGTACAACAGTCCCTTTCGTCAGTTCATTGTCATCATCTGAAAACTGACATGCATTTTTTCCATATCATTTTTATACAAAAGCTCTTTATCTATTTCCTCATAGTTTCTTGTACCGATGTTACAGTTTAGCTTAAATAACTCATGTTATGCCCATTGGAAGTAAACCTAGAGAGGGTGTTGCTGCGGGAGACTCTGGCGGCCACTGAAAAGGAAGGAGACAGAAAAGACATCCAGGCATGGCTCCTTCGGACAACAGACCTGTGCACTGTGGTGGTGTTTATGGAGATCTTAATTCTTACCAGTGTTATCAGGAACATCTCCAAGGCCTGTACCTATGCTGAGAATGAAATCAGCATCAGGAATAGATCCCTAGCTCGAAAGCCAAAAGGTACAGACAACCTGGTGTGCGCTTCACTGACAGCTAGCTTCTTCTGTGCTAAATTGCCTTGCAGTTAATTCTGATTTTCCTTCTGGGATTTCTCTCTGGTCAGACTATGGGCTTTGGTTTTGTGTGTGTGTTTGGGGTTTGGTTTTCTTTTTGTGGGTTTTTTGGTTGGTTGGTTGTTTGGGTTTTTTTTTGTTTGGTTTTGGTTTTTTTTGTGGGTTTTTTTGGTTGTTTTGTTTGTTTGGTTGTTTTGCTTGTTTGGGGTTTGGTGGAATTATTTTGAACCGTAAAGATTATCACACCCCAAAGCTTTTTTTTATCAAATCAGCAACAAGATGTGACAGTCTCAGATGTCTCAGAGATACGCATCATAGAAGATGTCTTTGGAAGAGGAAAGGAAGACCTTACTGATGTCTTCCTCTGACGTTCCTCTGGTGTACCTCTGGAGGGCAGTGTCTAATCTGACACCTGAGAGTCCATGTGTGAGAAGGGATTGGCAATACCTTGACTGTCACTTGAAAGATAAGAGACAACAGAGAATCCAAATGAGAGATACAAACCAGATACTAGACTTCCTTAATTCTGATGAGGTTTATAAAGGCCAGGGATTTATGGCAAGGAGGTAATAAAGGAAGGACTAAATTCTTGACCTGGTTAACAGTAAATAAACACTGAACTGCTGTGCATGTCAGCTCTGATCCTGAGAGCTCCAATATATGTTTGACTTCTGTAAAATTAGGGAGATGAGGAATTCACAGGTGTGAGGTGCTTTTACCAATGTTGCTTTAGTACCAGTGATGTTACCTCAGTCTTTATTCTGTCCCATTGGCAACCAAATGGAAATATAGCCGAGAGTGATCACCTAGCTGTGCTGCTTATGCACCTCTTTCCAGTCAAAATGTGCCGAGTTATTCAGAACCTTTAAAAAATGCCTAAATTAACTAACTGTTTTTTCTCAACCCCGGGGATCCCTAACACATTTCACTTACAATAAGTTTAGAAATTTTTAATAGTTAATCTGAGCAATCCAACTTATTTCACCTGAACTGTGCAGAAGGAGCATTATCAGCAAAATGGCAAGAGAGTGTGTCCAGCAGCTGGGAACAGCTGGCAAGTGGTGACCCTTTCAGCAGAAACAGCTGTTCACAGAACACACCTGTTGATGCCTGTGTTTCACTCACCCTTATATCCTAGGCATAGGAATATGTACAATGAAATGTTAGCTACCTCAGAACTAGGAAAGTAGTCAACTTCTTTGGACGTCTTGAGAGATGAAATATCTAGGAGGTAAAGGTAATAGAAACAGATGATGTGAATTAATTAACTAATTGGGGCATGAATGAATAAACTATGTATATGACTGTCTTTTGGGTGCTATGCGCTTACCAGTCAATTTACATGAACTAACTAACACTTAGAATACTAAATTAGGGAGGATAATTCTTAATCTTCAGATACATTAATTCTATTATTTGTATATCTAAAATATGTGAAAAAAATTTGAAAATACCATAGATATGTAGCTATGGAAGACGTTTTCTCCAAAGAACTTTGACCTTCAAAAATCCCAGAAGATATCAGAAGGAAAATCTGTGTTTATATAATTTCTCAGACAATCTAGCAAGAATTAAAGAGGTATTGGAATTAAAGATAACCACTCTCTATTCTCTGACCTGGACAGGTAATGGACTCAGACTTTCCTGAAGTCTCTTCCAGAGATAGACTTTAAAATGATCAGATCACATTTTATGTTGGTTTTTTTGTTTGTTTGTTTGGTTGTTTTTTTTTTAATCTCCAAATTCTGCAATGACATTTTAAAATAAAAAAGAAGAATTGTACAGTATGTAATTACTATATTAATGTCTGTATTTCAATGTGTGTACGTGCATTCCCTGTGGTGAATCATATATTGCAATCTTTAGAATAGAATAACACAAAATCTGATATTTAGAGTACTATAAAAAGAATATTAATGGTTACACATTCACTATGTCCCTAGTAGGGAAACAACAATAAAAGATGCTAGTCAGTAAGTGATTTTGTAATAATTTTTGATTTTTCAAAGGTACTTCTGAAACAAAGATGTAGAAGCATAGAATAGAATCATAGAATAGTTAGGGTTGGAAAGGACATTAAGATCATCTAGTTCCAACCCCCCTGCTGTGGGCAGGGACGCCTCACACTAAACCATCTCACCCAAGGCTTTGTCCAACAGGGCCCTGAACAGCGCCAGGGATGGAGCATTCACAGATTCCCTGGGAAACCCATTCCAGTGCCTCACCACCCTTACAGTAAACAATTTTTTCATTATATCCAAACTTCCCCTGTTTAAGTTTGAACCCATTACCCCTTGTCCTATCACTATAGTCCCTAATGAAGAGTTCCTCCCCAGCATCCCTATAGCCCCCCTTCAGATACTGGAAGGCTGCTATGAGGTCTCCACACAGCCTTCTCTTCTCCAGGCTGAACAGCCCCAACTTTCTCAGCCTGTCTTCATACAGGAAGTGCCCCATCCTCGTGGACCTCCTCTGGACTTATTCCAACAGTTCCATACCCTTTTTAGGTTGAGGACACCAGAACTGCACACAATACTCCAAGTGAGGTCTCACAAGAGCAGAGCAGAGGGGCAGGATCACCCCCTTCAACCTGCTGGTCAACTCCTTTTGATACAACCCAGGATACGGTTGGTTTTCTGGGCTGCAAGCGCACACTGAAGCCGGCTCATGTTCATTTTCTCATCGACCAGCACCCCCAAGTCCTTCTCTGCAGGGCTGCTCTGAATTTCTTCTCTGCCCAGCCTGTAGCTGTGCCTGGGATTGCTCTGACCCAGGGGTAGGACCTTGCACTTGGTACGGTTAAACTTCATAAGGTTGGCATCAGCCCACCTCACAAGTGTGTCAAGGTCCCTCTGGATGGCATTCCTTCCCTCCATTGTGTCAACCAAACCACATAGGTTGGTGTCATCGGCAAATTTGCTGAGGGCGCACTCAATCCCATTGTCCATGTCACCAACAAAGATATTGAACAAGACCGGTCCCAACACCGATCCCTGAGGGACACTGCTCATTACTGGTTTCCAGCTGAACACTGAGCCATTGACCACACCTCTTTGCGTGCAGCCATCCAGCCAGTTCTTTATCCACCAAGTGGTCTACCTATAAAATTGATGTCTCTCCACTCCCTTGAGACAAGGATGTCATGTGGGACAGTGTCGAATGTTTTGCACAAGTCCAGGTAGGTGACGTCAACTGCTCTACCCCTGCCCCTCAGTTCCGTACCCCCATCATAGAAGGCCACCAAATTGGTCAGGCAGGATTTCCCCTTAGTGAAGCCATGCTGGCTGTCACCAAGCACCTTGTTTTTCGTGTGCCTTAGCATGCCTTCCAGGAGAATCTGCTCCAAGATTTTGCCAGGCACAGAGGTGAGAGTGACTGGTCTCTAATTCCCCCAGTCAAATTACAGTTGTAATTCATCTGTATTTTAGAAGC